ATTGTGGTAAGTAATGTATTCTGCATAGCTGCCAGCGTCCATTACAAAACAATATTCGCCTGTTCGTCCTTATCGCATTTCACTAAAAAAAAACATTACTCGAAACTCAGGATACTGAAAAAACATGTAGCGTACAGTACCGCCAGAGCGCCCCACCGTACAGTACCGCCAGAGCGCCCCACCGTACAGTACCGCCAGAGCGCCCCACCGTACAGTACCGCCAGAGCGCCCAGCGTACAGTACCGCCAGAGCGCCCAGCGTACAGTACCGCCAGAGCGCCCCACCGTACAGTACCGCCAGAGCGCCCCACCGTACAGTACCGCCAGAGCGCCCCACCGTACAGTACCGCCAGAGCGCCCCACCGTGCAGTACCGCCAGAGCGCCCCACCGTACAGTACCGCCAGAGCGCCCCACCGTACAGTACCGCCAGAGCGCCCCACCGTACAGTACCGCCAGAGCGCCCAGCGTACAGTACCGCCAGAGCGCCCAGCGTACAGTGCCGCCAGAGCGCCCCACCGTACAGTACCGCCAGAGCGCCCCACCGTACAGTACCGCCAGAGCGCCCCACCGTGCAGTACCGCCAGAGCGCCCCACCGTACAGTACCGCCAGAGCGCCCCACCGTGCTTTACAGCCAGGGAAAGGAAAATCGTATGCCAGAGTGCAACGAAGTTTGTCCGGTGCAAGAACCTTAGTATACTAAGGTTACATTTGGCAGGTTTTAGTGTGGAGGTCGTGTCCAATTGTTGTTGTTGTATACTTTATTTATAGTGGGAATCAAAACAGGCATAATGCCCAATAACATCGGACCCACGGTGAATACAAGCTTAAGGATATTGTAGAAAAGTAGTCAATTGAAGGCAAAATGAGTGCAGATTGACTGCACAACATGTAATAATGTGTACAAGGTTCGTGTCGTGTGACCTAAAGACAGGAGACCACCTCCAAAATACGACCACGAAGGGACGAGAGGGTGGGGAGCTCCGGCAGTACTTTACGGTAATTGTACCTGTAGGTGTATCAAAATGTCGGTATCAGGGACCTGCCAGGTTTCAGGTGTAATGTAGAATTAGGTGACCAGCATTCCCTTCACATACAGTGAATACTCTTGTGCCTTTTAGCAGGGTTGGCAGCCAACCAAGCACACAGAATTCCAAACTTTTTCCAAACCAATTTCAAGAATTTCCAAACCCACTCGTGCAGGAAAAATAAAATAATAAACCTCTTCTGAACGACTGTCTTCTCCACTACGAGTACAACCAGGTAGTAGTAAAATCCTCCCTGGTATCACTACCATCAACAAATTCACCAAGGTGCATTGCGATGATATCGCCTTCAGCAGCTAGAGCCCCTGAAAATAGCAGGGGAATTCATACGACGAGAGTTCCCCTCCGTAAGTTCAAATCCGCCTCCAGAGGGGGTTCCAATGAAACATTTACACAGCTGGTGTCCATCTCAGCGCTAAAGACGGCTTCATCCTCACCAGTAAACTCATCTGAGTGCGAAAGGATCTCGCCATCCTGCTGTCCCGACTTCAAAGAATCAAAGTCGAGCGCGAGCGCGAGTAACAAAAAACGGGCAAATAAAAGTCATCACCGGCCGCACTTGAGCTGCACTGAAATGACTGTACGAGACGCGTACATGCAGTGAACACCACACATCGCCAGTGCGTCTTCAATCGGCACTCAAAACGGCCACTTGCACTGCAGGAGTGCAGCACATCTGCGGCCAAAAAATCCATATTCAAATTTTTTCCAAACTTTTTCAAAAGGAGCGCCTTTTCAAAACTTTTTCCAGACCTGGAAAATTGAATTTTAAAATCCAAACTTTTCCAGACTTCCAAACTTCGCTGCGAACCCTGTTTTAGGTGTAATCTAAATTTAGGTGCTTGTTTTCACTACCGAAATCACCGAAATTGAAGTTAAACCGAAAAATATAGTATTTTGCAGTACCTGTACTGGTATGGCAGATGCACGGGATATCAGTCCTGTTCATACAACAAACCTTGGTCACTCACATCATCAGTCGCATGGGACGATGGGCGGCCGATCGTGCAGGGCAACCACCCCCCCCCCCCCCCCCCCCATAAACAAACACAAACGCTCACAATTGCACACGAGTGCACACACACACACACACACACACACACACACACACACACACACACACATGCGCACACACACACACAATCGCGCGCGTGCGCGCGTTTATAATAAGTATTAATAACCAAAGAATTGACGAGTTCGTTTACAGGGCTAGTCAACGGTACAACCGGATTGTGAAGGCCAATATTAGACAAACTACAACTCGAGAGTCGAAACCCAACTTTAATTTAAAATCTGGATTTTGAATCCGCTGCGAGACGCCAAGGGTGCGTTTGGTTGGTAAGATGAAGAGTACATGAAAACCTGAATGTGCAGCTTGGGCCCTTTTCTGCTATGGGTGTCTGTCACTGCGGAATTCCGTAATTACATCATATTTGGCCCAGATCTGAGGCGGGAAATGACGTAGTGCGTACAACTGAGCTGCAGTTGTGCAGAAAGAGACCTGCTTGAATCCTGCGTGTACGCACTACATCACTAAAATGATGTAATCACAGAATTCCGCCGTGACAGCCACCCATCCGAGCTGCACACTCTGGTTTTCATGTACTCTTGGTACGATCTAGAACAGGATCGAACAGCTGGTGCACATGGAGCAGCCTCATGCCAACCAAACGGTACTCCAGAAACAGAGCACATTTTGTGGAAAAATGTGCCAAACTTGGTGCATTCTTCAAAATGTGTATGGGTCACCATGGTCACTTTGTACGGTACGACGAGTCCAACCCAAAAGCGTATGCACGTGATCATTTGGGACCAAAATCGATGTTCCCGCCAGGTTTCACTGTGAAAAAGTGAAACTGCTCGGTCTGCTCCGGCCTCGATGCCGGAGCAAGCAGAACATGTTCTGGCCGACCCAGAACAGGTGCCGTCCAAACCAAACGCGCTGTTCTGGTGAATCCTGTTCTAGTTCGTACCAACCAAACGCGCCCCAAAACATGGTGCCAATAATTTTAGACTTGTGGACTAAAAAAACTGTAGGCAAATCAAACGATATTACTAACATGTGCGTGCTAGCAAGAGTACATGAAAACCAGAGTGTGCAGCTCGGATGGGTTGCTGTCACGGCGAAATTCCGTGATTACATCATTTTAGTGATGTAGTGCGTACAAGCAGGATTCAAGCAGGTCTCTTTCTGCACAACTGCAGCTCAATTGTACGCACTACGCCATTTCCCGCCTCAGATCTGGGCTAAATATGATGTAATCACGGAATTTCGCCGTGACAGACACCCATAGCAGAAAAGGCCCCAAGCTGCACACTCTGGTTTTCATGTACTCTTGGTGCTACTACTACATGTACACTGCATTCACCACACGTCTAAGTTCTACAGTCCATTTCAAAACTATAGACGCGTACCTAGGCAAAAACCGTTATGCCAGCATCTATACCACATAAAATCTGTGATCACTTTGTGCATAAATTTTTCCAAATTGGGCGTCTGCTATCCAATCGTTTAGAAACTATATGAGAGTAATTGTGAAGCGGTCCTGAGCAATATTCCGAAAACTATTCTCAAAAAGTTCCAGCCAAATTTGAAATATTTCAAAACCCCTACGCGTCTATAGTTTTGAAATGCACTGTAATGTCTTTGAAAATGAAACTTACCATCCTCCGACGTAGAGCAGGAATGTACAACCCCAGGTCCAACAGAGATGAGGTGCTTTCTCCTGACACAAACTACACTGAGCACAACTCGGAGCTCTTTTCCTAGACCAAGCAAAATGCGTATTTTCTCGCAGCAAGAGTAGACAACTGGATCTGCTAATCTCTACGGGGTTGAGGAAAGACCGATGGTTGGCGTGGCGGCCCGTGCTGGCGGCTACATTTCACTCCTGCTATTATTCCACTTTTTGTGTTCTCCTTCTTGCAATTAAATTTTCAAGGTAGAAAATTCTCTCCTGCTTTGCAGGGCGCGCACGAGAATTTCACAAGAGCGAGTTGAAGGTTCAAAGTTCAAACTTTGTACCAGGACTGTCCAGGAGTCGTCAAAAAATTACAGGGAGGTGATATGCCTTAGGCGGTGTTTACATGAGGCGTTTCAACCCGGGTCGAATTCGACCCGGGTCAGTTTTCAACCCGCCATGTGCATAAAATGAATGGCGCGTTTACATGACGCATTGCGCTTGACCCGGGTTGAAATTTCGCCCCGGGTTGATTTCAACCCTCCCCCCAAGGGGAGGGTTGAAATCAACCCGGGTCAAGAAAATCGTACAAACGTACTTCTGTGCGTATCTCGCGCCAGGTTTGAACGGCACTGCAGATGCAAATTTCGCGCGAACGGATTCACGTGACCATGCAGGACTCTAGAAGTGGACTTTTGGCGGCATATCAGTATTTGACCAGGGTCAACTGACTTCATGTAAACGCTCACCTCTTTTGTCTATCGTACAGACTTTCAACCCGGGCTGAACTCGACCCGGGTTGAAATTTCTCATGTAAACACAGCCTAATCGTGATTTTTGAACAAAAACAACAACAACAACAAAAAACGAGAAATTCTAATGACATGTCGATTTTGGAGGTATATTATATTAGGCTGTGTTTACCATGAGAAATTTCAACCCGGGTTGAAAGTCTGTAGGATAGACAAAAGAGGTGAGGTGTAGGTGAGCGTTTACATGAAGACAGTTGACCCGGGTCAAATACTGATATGCCGCCAAAAGTCCACTGCTACAGTCCTGTATGGTCACGTGAATAGTCATAGCCCAAATTTGCTAGCAATTCTTTGATCAAAATATTTATTTATTTTTCGTAGATCAAGCCTCTTATACGGGCAAAATAAACACAATTACGAGTGCAACCTCAACAGCACCGGAAGAAAAACGAGCAAAAAATGGCTGTGAAGACAGCCGAGAGAGCAAAAAATTAATGGCTGTGAAAACAGTCGAGAGAGCAAAAAAAGGCTGAGAGCAAAAATGGCTGTGAAAACAGTCTAGTACGGAGCCTCGGGAGGGAGCTTTAACCGATGCTGCTCATGGCAACCGCAAATCGGGCCGAGTCATTTGCATCTGAGGGCACGCGGTGCCGATGGCCTCGCAGACTGGCAACAGCCGCACGGATGAGGGCAAAGCTGAGCTTACATCGGATGTAGGACATTGTGGCAGCGTACGGCTCCTGCTTCTTGTCGGCGAGCATCGATGCCAGCCGAGCATAGAGTGCTGTCGCAGCTTTGCCATACCCTCCAGTGCAGGACAAGACAACTGGTGAGAAGGAGGCGTGCTCGATGTTGGTGATCCCTTCCTCGTAGCGGCGACGCTTCTCCTGCTCATGTCGCTTGTACACAGCGGGCAAGGCAAACTTGGCGTTGGTGGGGGCGTGGGGGTTGAAAACCCGGACATCAAAGTACGAACGCTCGTACCGACCTCCCCAGACTCCACTGGCACCGATGTCTAGGCGGGCGTTGTCTTCAGTTGAAGCTGACCGTAGCGTCATCCTCTCACCTGTCAGCGGCTCTAGCAGCGGTTCCACCACAACTTGGTGCGCAACTTCCTTCATGATGGATGCTGTGAGGTCGCGTACCTCGTTGTGGCGGAGGCTAGGGTAGCCGCCGGTTGAGCAGGAGAGAGCATGGGCCACGGTGAATGATTTACCACAGCTGCAAGCAGAGGGCAAACGCTTCAGAGGCCAGCCATATCGCAATGAAACCGCATCGTGAAATGCGCCCTTCGATAGCGTGAAGCCAAACATCTTCAGTGGTTTGCATGTCAGCCACGACGAGGCACCCTTCTCCGCCGCCAGCTCCCTGGACCGCTTTAAGTCCGAAGCGATGCTCTCTTCCACAGCGACTAGGGTCTCCTTCTCCCTTACGGAGTGGATCCTGTGCACCTTCGCCTTCTCTGCCTTCATGGTGTGGTGAACATCACCTAGGTCCGTGTTTTGCACGATGATCCGCTCCACCAATGGCTGCGTGATGGTCCTGGAGTCATCCAACTGGCTGGCGAGATCGCACGGGTTGATTAGACCCATGCCCCCTAGGCGACAAGGCAGAGCGAGGAGAGTGCGGGTGGTCTGATCAGGAGCGGGGTGTCCTGTGAGCGCCGGGATAAACTCGCCGTGGATAATCTCCTCCAGTGGCTGGAAATTCTCCGTCGCTTCTGGCATGGTGCGAGCGAGGAATGTCCACTTGCCCTTCAGCCCTTGCGTGAACACCGTGTACGCTGCTTGTGGTTGCGATTGGGCGTACCTGGTGAGGACTTGCAGTTCCTTCACCCATTCCGTGACCTTCGCTGCAACAAACTGCTTGCAGAAAGTAGCAGTGCCCAGTCCCGCACCCAGGTGACGGCAACCATCTTGCATGATCGCGATGTTAGTCCCATGGAACACTTCCTCCGCGGTTTTGGCAAACTGTGGTTTCACCAGGAGAGTGGACTTGGAACCATTAGGGAGGTTTAGTCCCACGTAATCCGTGGGTACTTTACGTGGGTGTACCACGTGATACTCAGTGACCAACGTACAGACGTTTTCTGATTCACGACATGCCGTGTATGGAGGCTCACCCACGTTCCGCCAGAACGTGGGTGAAAATCAGAATGGAGCGCATTGTGCAAGCTGTGAGGGTGCTCAGCTGAAGAAGTTTCCGAAGCACGAAATCAAAATATTCGATGAGCTTCTTAGGCCCGGGTAGCTTCGTCTTTGACCAGGTTTGGGCCTTTCGCTTTATGCTTTTGTTTGTTCCGTGTGACTAAACACAACATTGCAACGTGGGTGCCCTTCATCCACTTTACGTGGATCACCCACGTACGCGTTTCCGTTACGTGGGAACTAAACCTCCCTATTGATGAAGTATCCGTACTTGTGGCCCTCCTCCTCGAGCGTGTTCCACCATACACGCAGCGCACGCATACGGCCTGCTGCTGTGGAATCATCCGCAAACCAGATGTGCTGTGCCGCTGAGCTGCTCGCCGCCTTCTGCATGAGTGGGAGGAGCCCAATGGCATACATGGGCATTGCCATCGGGTCTCCCTGGGTGGTGCCCTCCTCAGAAAGAAGACACTCCCCATCGACGAACAGCCGTGCGGGATGCCGGTAGGTGTTGGTGACGGCACCCGCGATGGCCGGACAGAGGTGACGGATGTTGTGCAAGCACACACTGCGGTTCAGCCTGTTGAACGCATTGCTCGCGTCTGCTAGGAGGACTGCTTCGGTCTCTTCCTCATTCCATAGGTGCCGCATTGCGTGGATTGCTGCTTCCACACCACATTCTTGGCCGCCACACAGCTGAAGCGACCCGACCGCCTGTTGGATCTGCTCTCCGATTATGGTGAGGATGGCTTTGCCTACTATCCTTCTGAGGACTTCACATATGCCGATTGGGCGTACCCCGGGCTTCTTATCCAGAGGCACCAAGCGACATGCCGTGAATGACTCGAGGGAAATTGGGTTGATGATTCCGGTGGCGATGCGCTTGGCGCAGGCGGCGATGCTATCACATAGCTGGTCGGAGGACGCTCCGAATGAGGTGCACAAGCGTTTCCAGCTGGTAGAGTCCATGCCGGAAGGGCCTGCTGCTCCATTTGTCCTTAGCACCGATTGCCGAATGATGTCTCTGTTCAGAGCTTCGAACAGCACCGGGTGCGGCAGTTCAGGGCAGGGGCCGATGATGAGGGCGTCTGCATGCATGGGTTCCGCCAGCGGGTGCTTCTCTTTCAGCGTTTGCCTCACGGTTTTACCATCAGCGGAGGAGTCCAGATTTAGCAGCCCACCCGAGGGCGTTGCTGTCAGGGACTGGAGAGCTGCGCCCAGTTTACCATTTGTGATGAGGGTAGCGAATCGTCGCGCGTCATCTGGACTTTGGGCCCGTTTCCCGCCACGTTCCTTGGTTAGTTGTCGCTGGATGGTACGTGCTTCCCGTACGAGTACATCGATGTTTCCCTCGTTCCATAGCTGCATTCGTCGGTTCAGACATTCCACATGCACCTTACGTGTCAAGCAGTTGACCGGTTGTTGCAGTAGAAGACTGTGGCAGACCATAAGTGCCTTCAAGGCTATGCCTTCTCCCGCCGCGTTTGTTCCAAACGTGTTGAGGTAGCGAGCGCTCAAGTCCACCACTGACCTGCCATGTGCACCCGATGGGATGGCGAACAGGTTAGGCCGGAAGTGTACGATTTCCTCGTACGCTGCAGCTATGACCTGTCCTGTGTCCTCGGGGCTCAGCTCACCGAGTCTGAGTCGTTGGTCAGCTGGCGGGATTGGCAGTGTTGCAGCCCCCTGCCCACTAGCTGTACCGTGCGCGTTTGTGAGTTCCGGTTCGCTGTTGCTATTGGGCTGCGAGGAGCTCAGGCTCGCTAGGAGGGCGACCTCTTGTGCCGTTGGTTGTCGGTCTTGCCGTGGAGCGTTGGCTTCACGTGGCAGTGCATCTTCTCCACAGGAGCCGGTCTCCGAGGGTGTTGGTGTAGAGGCATCGAGAAGGTCCCATGCTACCTTTTGCGAATTGGAAATCGGGTCGGCGAGGTGGCGTTGTTCCAGGGTGTCCCACGCCAGCTGCTGCGAGGCCGACTCGTGGGTAGTGCCATCTAGCCCTTGGCCCTGACCGTCGACGCAGAGCTCGGCGACGTGGAGCTGTTCCAGTACGTCCCACGCCAACTGCTGCGAGTCCGACACCTGCTTGGTGCTATCTAATCCTTGGCCCTGACCGTCGGTGTGGAGCTCGTCCAGAGGCGGAGTGTCCCGAGCCGACTGTTGCGACACGTGGGCTTCGCCCTGGGTTGTCGGTCTCCGCGTGGGGGACGCGGCGGCTGGAATGTATCGTATGGTTCGAAAGCCTACGGGACTGGCCTTCGCCGCGACGGTTTGCGAATTTCGGCATCTTGCCCTGTTCCCGGGCCCGCAATCCTCGCATAGCTTGCCAGC